GACGAAAAGGGAAGCAGTGGCGGCAGCAGTAGAAGCGGTGGCGAAAAAACAACGGAGATGACTATGACCAATCCGGGACAACATGAAGGAAGCAAGGGGCACGAGACTGAAGCACCTGTGCCGCGGGAAGACCAGAACCCACGGACAGGGACTAGGACTGGTCCTGCTACAGCCGCGCTGGCTGTCCTAGGCAAAAAAGGGGAAATTGAAAGGAGGCCCCAGCAAGAAACAAGACCAAGGAGCGGTAAAGAAGATGGGAGAGTACATCGAAAGAAACACGAAAAAGGAAATCAAGGAACAGCACGAAATCATAAAGGGGCAGAGCTGTTAGACCAAGGTACGGCCATGATTTGGCTAAAGGATAAAAGATATGAGGAGGCCGAGAGGATGATGTATGACGTTGACACACAAACACAGAGGATAGACACAAGGAGCATAGGCATACAAACTAACGAAGAGGGCCCTTTACAGAACTACAGGATATAAATACTTTGGATAAATTCGAGGAGATTGCGGATAGGGAATGGGAAGAGGAGATATATACAAACACCAAACTGGTGGAAGAGTATGTGCAACACATTCAAGACGGTGGGACGATCACAACTGCGGTATGGGTAAAAGAAAGTGATAGAAACATGGAAGAATTGGCGCGCTCTTTCAAGGAAAGGTATCCGGAACTAAAAGGAAATGTATGAATACAGAGTCCTAGAGCTATCTAGCAAAATCAGAGGTAAAGAAGGAAGCCGCACTAAAGTCAGGCGCATTTATAAGCTCAGGAAACCAGAAGCGGAAATAGAAAGGTTGAAACCATGGAAGAGGCTGAAGGAAGACACAAACAAGGACGAGATAATAAGAGTACAGGTAACCAAAGTCTTGGACATCTACAGAACTAGAAAACTCGTTGAGGGGTTATTCCATACATCAACGACGAAGGTCGAAATCTATATCGGCAAGAGCAAAGTAGTGGATAAGCAAAAGAAAGAACAGAGGCCATACGCCCTCGTAGTCGAGGGCAAAGGCACGGATATTAGGGAAACGGTTGACAAAGTAAAGGGAATTATCTTGGGAAAGCAAGCCGGGGAGGGTATTAGGGAACTCAGAAGCACAAGAAATGGTAAACTATTAATTATCATGGAACAAAAGAAGAAGCACACAGACAGAGTACAGAAGACACTACTGGAGGGAAGCAAACCGGACGGTATAAAGGTATGGAAGGCGGGGGAAAATAACAAGAAAACGGTTGTATTCATCAGAGACATAGACGCAACAATATCTCGAGAAGACGTGCTAGATGCACTTAAGGAAAGTATTGAGGACCTGGAATCAAAGACCTACAGGCTAGGAGAGCTAAGACCGATGGTAGAAAATATGCAGGCGGCAACTCTTATCTTAGAGAAGAGGGATGCCGAAAAATTGACGTGAAAGGACTCCATCAAGATCGGCCAGGTTAGATGTAGGCTCGAAAGTAGGATTGATTTGGAAAAATGCCATCGTTGCTGGGGCTACGGTCACAAGGCGGGGGAGTGCAAGGGGCCAGATAGGTCCAAGCTGTGTTTCGTATGCGGGGAAGGACACACCAAAAAGGAGTGTGGGAGAGAGAAGAAATGCCGAATTTGCGGGAAGCAAGGACACAGAGCAGACAATAGCAGGTGCCAAGTTTTTCGTGAGGTGTTGACGAGAGAGAAGGCCAGAATAAGGAATCTAAACTGGGGGCAAGAAACGAAAAGGGCCGAGGATATATAAACATCAAAATGAAGCATACAAAACTGAGATTTATGCAAGTAAATCTTAATAGATGGCACCCAGCTCATGACGTGATGGAGAAAACGATAAGGGATAGGCAAATTGATGTGATGATTGGACAAGAACCAAATAAAATAAGAGACCTGGGAGAATATTGGGACCTGGAAAGGGATGCTTTTATTATAGTGGACCCACGACACCGTGTGATAAATCACAGGAAAGGGAAAGGTTGCATTATCGTAGAGTTAAAGGAGGTAATCGTGTCGTGCTATTTCTTACCCCATGGTGACCTCTACGGTTTCGTAAAAAATGATCAAGGATCTGGAAGAAGATCTTAGAAAAAAGAACAAAGAGGAAATTATAGGAGGGGACCTAAACGCGAAAATGACAACTGCTATGTATATGTTCGAGCAATCGGAGGTTCGGAGCAATGAAAGCGGTGCCGGGTGCGAAGAGTGAACAATAACAAAAATTTATTAAGAACAGTTTTGAATCTTTCACAAACTTAGAAAATTCAAGATCGATCGTGACGGTTAAATGAGAGGCGGACGTGTGCAATAAGTAGCGCGGATGTACTTGGCGGAGATCTGAAGAGATTCGCTATTGAGATGAATTGTATCTGACGGTGCCTAGCGGGACTCCCTTTTTAAAAGTTTTGGATGCGGTTCTCTAGGCCGGAGTTTTTTGCCAAGCGTTTGCTAATAGGTCTAGCGAAATGAAGTGGGATTTGCAACCGAAGGCGATTGGTTAATGAGGACTGAGAGAGGGAAAAGTTAATGTTTTTTAAGGAGGCTTAGGTGGGGAATAATAAAAATGGGCTATAGGACTAGAAGTAAACGAATCATGGGCTAAAGGACCGCGGTAGTGTATAAAAGAGTGACACGCTAGAGTTTCTGTTTATACCTCAATTTAAGTTATGACCATACGTTACTGAATTAATGATGCGAGATGACAGGGAGCGACTCGAGGAAGAATAAACAGAGTTTGAGATGAGGAAGAAATAGAACTTCCAGATCGTTGCGGAGAGTACTCTAATTAAAATTTGGCGTTATTATTTGAACTTTGCATATTGGCTTGAACAACAGCGATAGGCTCCAAAAAATTTAACAGTACGGGTAGAGCATGGAGCATGTTGTTATAGGCAAATGGGTTTATGCTAATAAACGAAAGTGGAATGCCGACTTTCAGAAATAAAAATGGCCCCTCCTGAATCGATTTTACGACGGCATCTGCGGGCATTAACAAATATGTTAGGGGGTGGAGGGTCGACCCAAAGGAAAACCTAAGTGATCATATGAACATCTTCACCGTCACAAATAAGGACAGTGGAAAATCCAGGGGGTGTGAGGATAGGGAAAGGACGCGTAATGGATAGAGAATACGGACGAAGGACTCAAATGTTTCCTCGAAGACCAAACAAAAAGATATCCTGCCAAAAAAGGAACGTTATCACCAGAAGAACTAGTGGATGAAATAACATGGAGATGTGATAAGCATTTAAAATAAATGGGGGTGGGGTAATAGGAAAAAACCACATACTGGTGGACAAAAAAACATCGAGGAAATGAGGAAGGACTACAACAAGAAAAGAAGAATCATTACCAGGATGAGAGGCAGATATTGAGATATAGAAAACCTAGAGAAGGCAGAAAAATTGCACACAAAAGAGCCAAGGCTATACTAAGAAGGGAAATTGTAAAGAGTAAGAAGGAACAAATGGGAGGAACTATGCAAAGAACTGGCGTACAACGTATGGGGAAAGGCCTACCAAATTGTCACAGAAAGACTAAAAGTTAAAAAGAACACGAAGCTGACAAGCGAGGAAATCGCAGAGCAGGTTAAGAAACTTTTTCCGAAAAGGAAAGAACAAATATGGGACTGCACAGGGAGAGATCTCTGCCCTCTGTTCACTGAGGGAGCGATAAGGAACGCCATATCACAAATTAAGACGGGGAAAGCACCGGGCCCTGATGGCATAAGACCTGAAATAATTAAAGCATGCGTAAAGAACCTGGTAACAGACATCAAAGACGCATTAAACAGATGCCTAGAAAGAGGCAGTTTTCCCGCGATTTCGAAAACGACAAGGCTGGTTCCAATAAAAAAACCGAAGGGAAACGAAGACAAAGCAACCTATAGGCCCATTTACATAGGAGACTCCCTGGGGAAGGTGCTGGAAACACTAATCTGGGATAGGCTCGTAGTAAAAATGGAAGAGAAGGGACTGCTACATGACAACCAGTTTGGATTTAGGAAAGGGCGATCAACAATCGACGCCATGCGGAGGATAACAAGTATTATTGACGAACTGAGATAGAGGGCCTACAAAAATAGGAACTTCGCTATCCTCATCACTATCGATATAGCAAATGCCTTCAATTTGGCCCCATAGGGAGGCATAAAGACACTAGAGAAGGGAAATATCAATGGCTACCTGGTGAAGATACTGAATGATTATCTAAAGGACCGATGGATCCTCGTAAGTGACGGTCAAAGGTTCAAGATGACCTATGATGTCCCTCAGAGATCAGTATTAGGACCTACCCTGTGGAATCTGTATTATGATCGGATCCTAAGGAGGAACAGAGGTACAGGGATAAATTGCATTGCACATGCTGACGATCTGATAGTGACAGCCCAGAACAAAGAAGTACTGGCGGAAAGGACCAAAAAGGCCATAGAGTCGGTCTGCGAGGAATTAAAGGAGATGAAACTGAGTGTGGCCCTACACAAGACAGAAGCGGTAATGCTGGAGGAAAAAAGGAGCATAAGGGATATGGAACTAGAAATAAATGGATGTACCATCAGAACCACTAAGGCAATAAAATATCTAGGAGTAGTGTTTGATAAGGACCTTAACCGTTTGAGTGCCACGTGTCTTTGCTGTTTTCCCGTCCAAAAGTGCCAAGGAGCGATTTTTCGCTTGTTTTATTCCCTCTCCAAAAGTGCCAAGCGGCGCGATAGCGCTTGTCTCTTATTCCTCGATTAAAAATGCCAAGGAGCGCTATTGCGCTGTTTTCTGCTCTATACGGTAAGCGGTAATGTTCGACTGAAATTCAAATTCGTTCTTTTACCAGCTGTCTCATTCTTTTCCTTTTACCTAAAATGGAATGGTAACCGTAAAGTCGCGTATCGATGGAAACCGAGCGTGTCGCGGTTATCGGCTTCGCAGCCTGGAACGCTGGCGCTGTTCGAGAAAAAGCGCAAAATCACTCCTTGGCACTCAAACGGTTAAAGTGAAAAACCACGTCGAAAGGATGTGTATCAAAGCAGAGAACATGATCAACGCACTGAAAAGGATCATGCCAAAGAGCAAAGGGTTTAGAGAAAAGAAGAGACGGGTCATCGCTACTGCGGTCCTATCCGCAATGGTATATGGAGCTCCAGTACGGGGAAAGGTAACCGAAGAAAAAATGGTCAGGCGGAAATTAGATGGTGCAGGCAGGAAGCTTGCAATTGACACTGTCTCGGCTTACCGGACAGTGTCAGCCATGGCAGTGCAAGCCATAGCAAGTATACCACCCATCGATCTGGCGGTGAAAGAAAGAATGGAGATACATGAAGCGGGAGAAAAAGGGAAAATAGAAGCCAAAAACAGGCTATATGTTAAATGGCAAGAAAGATGACATAACTATGAGGGATGGACCAAGACATTTTTTAAAGACGTCAGCACATGGTCAGAAAGGAAATGGGGAGACACGGACTATTACCTCACCCAAGCACAGACTCGTCACATTTTTAGCACCTACTTAAAGAAAATAAATAAGACAAACGATGATAGGTGCTGGTTCTGTGAAGAAACCGACTCCCCCGAACACACAATCTTTTTATGTCAGGTGTGGGAACACGAAAGGAAAACTTCAAATGAGGCCTGCGGCACCGAGATATGCAAAGAAACAGTGACAAGACTTCAACTAAATTCCGAGGCAGCATGGAATATTATAAAAGACATAATATATAAAATCATGGAAGAGAAAGAGAGGAAAGAAAACGAAAGGAACAAGAAAGATACATGATCTGCGAGTCACACAGGATCATGAAGTAATCAGCGTTACGCGGTTCCGTGATCCTGGCCTGGGAGCACGGAGAGAGTGGTTTTAGTGGGTATTACCATCTGTGAGTCTCACACTGTCAGTTGGGCGTGCATAAGCGCATTTCCAACACCCCCCCCCCCTCCCCCCAAACAAAAAAAGCCATGGAAATCCGAGTACGGGTACGTGATTAGGAAACTCTTGGGAAAGGATCCATAAGCAGGCTACCTGACACAAGTTCATCGGCCAAGACGATTCCAAAAATCATGGATCGACCCAAGCCCCAATCACTCTGATGATTATACGGCGCATCAGCACGCCCCAGAAACGCCACTCTCATCTGGGCCCTAGGACCTCCCACCAATTGGAACGCCCTGCCAATAAAGCCGACAACCGCCAAATTAGCGGGGCCTTTCGCCGTTTTGCTACAAAATAGTCAACGTCGGTTCGAGTGGAGCTTCTGGTCTTCGGTATTCCGTTCCTAGTCAGACACCGGGACCGCTGGACTCCCTGTCAAAGATCACCTACCCTGCGAGCCGCAGTAGTACCATCCGGTACTCCGGCGATCCAAGCGCACCGAGTCAGAAACAGACGGCGGCACTGCGACTTCCGTTGGACGGGAGGCTTCTAGCAGACCTTTAATCCTAGGGCACGCCATGGGACGGTGTTCATGCGCAATCATCTGGCTAGCTCGATCAAAGGAAAGCGTCACCGAATTCGGCCGTTTATTAAGTCAGGTAGAGGATCCTTCGCAAACTCGACTCATCTTCATTTCATTCTAATCTTATTTCGGAACCCCCATCTCCGATCAAATCGAATACTAACCATTATCGCGATTTCCATACCTAGCTCCGGTTAACCGGATAGAATAAGACTTCATTAACTTCCTTAGCACTGCGAGATAGATTAGAATCATGCGTAGTCCGCCGTAGTCCGTCACAGCGAAGAATTCCCGCATCAGCACTCCAGGCGTTCAGCAATCTACCGCCGCTAAAGCGCGCTATCGCGACACCCGAACCGCCGTGACACGGAAGTAGGATAAACCCAGAGAAAATCAGGTCAAGGCATCTCGACTGCAACTCACAGCTGATTATAACGAAACATTACTGACGAACAAAAACAACAATCACATTACATTTTCTCACGTTGCCATTCATTGAAACCCTCCTCGAGTCTTCATTCCCGCAGATCCCACCAGAGGAGTTGATCTAGCCGCTCGGATCATTTCACAAGATTAATACATTCGTTACGCGAGAATTCATGGTAATCCATACTCGAATTTCCCCGGCCGAGCGGACGCGAGGCCGGCACGTAACAAATAGATTCAATTCGAATTCGATTTTCAATTTGAATTTGAATTTGAATTCAATTTTCAATTCGAATTTGAATTTGAATTTGAATTCAATTTTCAATTTGAATTTGAATTTGAATTTGAATTCAATTTTCAATTTGAATTTGAATTTGAATTTGAATTTGAATTTGAATTTGAATTTGAATTTGAATTCAATTTGAATTTGAATTTGAATTCAATTTTCAATTTGAATTTGAACTTGAATTTTACATTTAATTTTAAATTTAAATACAACAGCAGGACTGAATCGATAGGACCGATATTTCACAAGAGGTACTAAGATCGTCAAATTTGGAACTGTCACACCTCCCTTTGAACTTCGACTCATAATATCTCAAAAACTATAGATAATACAAAATAAATACATGTTAACAATTTTGTAGATAATTTAATTCTCTATAAAAAAAGGTTGTATGTTATTCACTCTTATATATTTATATTTCTTGTACCTCTTGTATATTTGTTTGACAAAATTACCAAAATTGTTATGTCAATAAACATTTAAAAATGAATGCATTATGTTTCAAAAACTGCAACTTATGACAAGAATGCACATGACCTTTCTTAGAGAATTAAATTTCATATAGAAACGGTACGATGAAATTTTATTGAATCTCGTAACTTCCTAAATATATTTGAAAGCGCATTCCTTTTCCTCTAAACCACATCATCCCATCCAGCTCTTGAAAATACGTAAACAACGCGAGGGCGAGGATGACCCAGCCCTTGAGAGGCGACGGAGCACCAGAAGTCGAAGAAATAAGGAATTGGGGCATTCGATAAACGGACTTCTTAGAGACACGTTGCATTCATTGCTGATTCCTTCGCTAGACATCCTTAGATATATTTTGTTATAGTAAAGTTTGAATTTTGCCTATATCAACTTTCAAGGGATTCTCATTTTAAAAATTACCTACATATTAAAACATTTAAATATCTAAAAACAGACAAAGTTATTAATACTTACCAAACTAATAGAGATATCAATTTTTCCTTTGAGAGTACATTTCTTTTCCCCAAAATATAACAAGAATTAAGTGTCATATCTTGGTGCCGAAAAAACGACAATACTGTGCTTTAATGAAATTAAATAAAAAATATACCATTCCATTAAAAAAGAAAAAAAAACATTAATGAATTTAATAACTCCGTAAAAAATAACTCTAGACAAGTACTTCATGCTCTCGTGCTTTAAAAGTGGTCTGCGATACCTTCTAACTTTTGTTAAAAACATTTTCACTTATCATCAAAAGGGTTTTTGGTTTTAAACAGACCGCCTGGTATAAGTAATCCAAATTAAAATAACAGACAGTTAAAGGATTAATATTGTTTTTCCTACAATATATTTGAATTTAATACTATTACAGTTATACATCTAGATATTTGATATTTTGTTTTGAATTGTATGTCTAGGTTTGCATATAAGCGGAAATGCAATATTTGATGATGACGAACCTTAACTATGTAACATTACCATAATATGATCATTTTATACATAGTTGTATCATATGTGAACATACCGTATATAAATCAACCTTCCTTGTCAAAAATTACCCGTTAAAACATGTACCTTATTCTCAGGGTGCTTTAATCGAATATTCTAATCGGAGAGAGTGGTTTTAGTGGGTATTACCATCTGTGAGTCTCACACTGTCAGTTGGGCGTGCATAAGCGCATTTCCAACNGTCGAGTGCTTCTATATGAAACAGCAAACTCACCCCCTTTCACGGCCAACTTTGAAGCCTGATTTCACCCCCTAAAAGTGTTTATCCGCCGATAAAAAAAAACACGGGTCCCTTAGATTTTAGTCCTCTATAACATATTTAAAAATGAACGAAATCGGAGGGGGACACCTCAGGTACCTTCCTTGTAAGTAACAGTAAAACTCGGAGGACATAATTCCGGAAGACACATAGATTCACGGTTGATTTTAGTCCGCGATCCAGCCAATGTTCTGAGGCGAACACCATCTTGCTTTCCTGAGCTAAGGCCCATCTACTATCTAACGGGATCTGGGGGGGCGTAGCGTCCCAACCACGTGTTCAAAGCACGTCTGTATCTTGTTCCAGTGGTAATGAAAGATATTTCACGTATTAATGAATGTTGGGAGAGAAAGTGACTGTGACCTACAATTTTCAATTTGAATTTGATGAATTCAATTTCCAATTTCAATTTGATGTATTACGTAGGCACCCTTAGTACCCTGGAATCTAGGGAAAAACAGTCCGATCATCGACAGCTAGCCATGGAAATCCGCTCCCTCGCGGTGCGGCACCTTGATGTGGTGAGGAGGTTTGCGTGACTCAGTGATCTCTGGGTCTGTACCGGCGGGGGTCTCAGTATCTGTCCCTGGCAGGTACTACCAAGCCGGAGTGGCTCAAGGTGAGAGTCCAGATTAAAAGTGCACCACAACCCGTGCTCAGCTATCGTATTGTGGCGGAGGGTTTTGCAGACGGGAAAACGATACCGGTAACGTTCCCGCAACTTACGGGGACGTCACCGTTATACCGTAATCCCTTCGTGTTATCGCGGACACGAAGGGGCCGGAGGCTTTGGTTTAACCGCCCGGGTTACGAGGAAGAAAACCTCCACAAAAATTACCCAAATCCTAAGGTATGACGCGCGCCGAAAGGATGCGTGGCTCAGGGGGAGCTCAGTTTTAGCTGACCCCC